ATAGCAATAACATAACCCAATACAGTATGGCACTCCCAAATGGGGCTTTAAAAATGTGAGAAGATATTGATCTCATTAGTTTGGTATTGCAAAATGCAAAAGTTATATTCTTAGTACTGTGAAAAGATGCTGATCTAATTAGTTTGGCATTGCAATATATATATATATATATATTATATGCATAGCTTAAAGTCTAAGTTTTTTTTTTTTTGAAAAGCAAAAAGAAATTTATTAAGTCTAAGTAATGTCAAAGAATTGCAAAATGCAAAGTTTAGTCTTAGTTTTTTTTTTTTTTTTTTTTTTTTTTGTAAATAAAATGTATTAAAGGGGTTACAAGGGGTGGTCCAATCCCCTACAAAATGTCTCAAACCATGTATCAGGACAATCTCTGGCAGCAAAATAGCAAATGCTAAGGACGAAGGAGAACAGCACACCAGTACGTGGAAGAACCTAGCCATTAATTGAACAAAACTGCGGGAATAAACCAAAATCACTGAAGGTAAAGGTAGATTTTTCTGATTTCCCCCTAATGAAGCTGTAAGATTTAACTTGAATAAGATCAAAGACTCTTTCTTCATTTCCAAGCATCATTTCTAAACATAGCATTTCTTGATAGCCATATTAATTGACGAAGCAGTAGTGAGAAGGGAGACTGACCAGCAATTCCAAAAAGATTAATTTGCAAGGCCGAAAGGAATCTACATGAGAAGATTAGGTGCTGTAGCTGACCGAAAGCAAACGTTAGTCTTAGTCAATGTGAAAAGATGTTGATCTCAACACAAAATACGCATATATATAATCTACAACTAATGATCAGTCATAAGTGGATTAGTCCATTTAGTATCAATAGAGTAATTTGCAGATACAAGTATGAATAATGTAGTTGTCTATAGTTGAAAATTTACAGTTTCAAGTTTTTGATGTCGAATATTGAAAATCTATGTTCCATACCAAACCCACTTGGTATTCCTTTCTTGATTGATTAGGAGAAAAAACGAGATGAGAGAGAGAGGTAGAGCGAGAACGAGAGAAGGCGACCGATGGGCACGGGCTAGGAAGACGGCACAGAGTATAGAGAATGGTAGATCTCAGCAGAGAAATCGTCAGAGCAGGAGGTTACCAGATCAGAAAAGGGAGAAGCAGTATGAGCAGAATCAGGTGTTTGAAAGGAAGATAGGAGACTCTTACGACTGGGGATTATACAAACAAGCGACACCTTATTTTTTCACAAACTTCCCAGAAAAATGGACATATGAAGACATGTGGAGAACGTTTCTGAAATTCGGGAGGGTATATGCTATTTACAGTCCAAAGAGAAGAAGCAGAAATGGTGGCAGGTTTGGCTTTGTCAGATTTCTTGATGTGAAGAACAGAAAAGAGCTGGAAAGAAAATTAGATAATATCTGGATTGGAGATTGCAAACTGTGGGTTAATGCTCCAAGATACGAAGACAATCAGCAAGTAGGGAAGGAAATAAAATCCAGACCCATTCCGGAGCCACAAGCTCAAACCAGGAGCTATGCAGAAGTCTTGAAAGTGCAACTCTCGACCAGGCAAGTTTGGCAAGAGAAAGGAAGGAGTGATACCTGGGCTGGGTTTGAATACAACTCGAGTCAAGAGGATTCTTCATGGCTGGAGGGTTGTTATGTGGGCACAACTCATTCAGTTGAAATGGTTAGGAACCTGCAAGAAAAATTCTACATGGAAGGGTATTTCTCCTGTAGAATTCGAGCGATGGGGGGTAGACTAGTTCTAATGGACTGTGAGGATAAGGATGAGCTGAAAGACCTGGTAGAATCAGCATCAGAGTGGTTGGGCCAATGGTTCGAGAAGGTGTGCCCTTGGACCCCAAATCTGGTAGCGGAAGAAAGATTCGTTTGGATTAAATGTCAAGGCGTACCGTTAAACGTATGGGGGCCTAAATTCTTTGCTTCGATGGGGAGCTCATGGGGCAAGTTCATTTGTCTTGATGATAGCACAAGTCAAAGGAGGAGATTTGACATAGCTAGATTTTTAATTTCGACTCCAATTATGAACAACATTTCAGTGACGAGACAAATCAAAATCGACGGATCCGTTTACAAACTCAAGTTCACAGAGGAGGAATTCACCAATAGTTTCTTCTCTTTGAAACAGGATTTTATCCCCCACTTTAGTAGTGATTCAGAGGAACAAGAAACATGGTCGCTGGTTAGTGAGAAGGAGGACAGTGTTAGCAAAGGTGCAGGGGAGGAAGAACAGGGGAAGGATGATGCAGCCGAGAAAGAGGAAGATGATGATGACGTGGTTTGCAGTAGAGGGGAGACGTACGAATCGGTTCTTCGAAACGGTCTGCAGCAGGAGGAGGGGACCGTTGAGAAAGTGGCGAACAGCATGGAGCAGTTTCAAATTTTAAACAAAAGGAAAATCAGTTTAAGCGAAGAAAAGGGGACGCAGCAGGCGGGAAATAGAGATAAGGTCGGGCAGCAGGCCAAAGCTGGAAGCAAAAGTTTGGGTTTTCAAAAGGGACCTAAGTTGGGCCTTTCTGGGAAGCCCAACACACAAAAGGACAGCCCATGCTATGTGGATTCCTCAAGTGCGGGTTTGGGTATTAATGAAGGGTATGCAAAGTCAAAATCAGACAGTGAAATGGAGAATTCGAGAGAAAGGAAAGCTGCCCTTTCTTGCAGCGAAGATGATCAGAAGCAAGAAGATAAAGGAGATCTCAACGGGCAGGAGCGCGCAAGTGCAAGTGATCAGGTGCAGATCTGCATGCAAAGAAGCAAGGAGGGTGTCATTCAAAGAAAGAAGAAGATTCGCCTGTGCAGTACGGTCTACCTCAAGGCCAGAAAAACAGGGGAAAGAATCCAGAGTGGGAATCGGCGTGAAAGGAAAAAGAAGAAAGTAGAGAAGGGACAGGGGGTGCCGAAATTCATGGTGAGCCCAGAGGGAGAGGTCGCGGGTGAATCGGTTGGCGACAGCGGGATCGAAAATTGCAACCGAGCTTTGAGGAAGCAGTTGCAAATTCAGTTGGCAAAAGATATATGGGATTTAGCCAAAACTCTAGGCGCCACAGCAGAAAATGAAGAGGAGATCCTGCAGAAAATTGAAGAAATGGAGGGCAGAGATAGACAAGGCAAAGAAGATTTGGTGAAGAGAGGGGCAGTAGGCGCTAAGACGGTAAGCAGAGATTTTAATGATCTTGCTATCTTTTAATATTAGAGGGCTAGGAGGGTTGGAAAAAAAAAGGAAAGTAAGAGAATTAGTAAAAAAAGAGGGAGTAGATTTCTTAGCTATTCAAGAATAGAAAATGGAGGTGGTAGATAGAAAAACTTGCAGAAGGTTATGGGGGTCCGATGATTTTGACTGGAGTTATAAACCATCAGAAGGTTTGTCTGGAGGCTTGCTGTGTATTTGGAATCTATTTGTGTTTAAAAAGGTAGAAGTGATTGAGGGGAAACACTTCACGGGGGTGTTTGGGTTGTGGGGGGAGGATCAGTCGCCTATTCACATCTTAAATATATACTCTCCATGCCATCTTCAAGGAAAAAGAGTACTATGGGAGGAGTTGGGTAAGCTGATCACCAGTAAAAGAGGCAATTGGATTTTGGGGGGGGATTTCAACGCAGCAAAATCAATAGGGGATAGAGCAGGTTGCAGTGGGATAACCAGGGAGATGAGGGAGTTTGATAGCTTTATACATGTCACAGGGCTGGTTGATTTACCATTGGTGGGTAGAAAATATACCTGGCACAGTGCAAATGGTCAGCATAGGAGCAGAATAGATAGGTTTTTGGTTTCGGAAGAATGCCTGCAAAAGTGGAATGACTTAAAACAGTGGGGACTGGGAAGAACAGTTTCAGATCATTGTCCACTTCTTTTGAAAAATGAAAAGATAGATTGGGGTCCAAAACCTTTTAAGTTTTTTGATGCTTGGTTGGAACATTCTGATTGCAAGGAAGTAATTAGCAAAGTGTGGAAATCTATAGAGGTGAGGGGGTGGAAGGGGTTCAGACTTAAGGAAAAGCTGAGAGAAACTAAAAAAGCTCTGAAGAAATGGAGTGCTAATCACACAGATGATGTTGACAGAAAAATAATTGAAGCAGAAAGGGTCATAGCTGAATTGGATGAAAAAGAAGAGCATAGCCAACTCTCAGAAGTAGACATTGAGAAAAGAAGGAATGGATTCTTGGACCTTTGGAAGAACATGAAGATTCAAGAGAGCATGTGGCAGCAAAAATCCAGGAAGATGTGGCTAAAAGAGGGGGATGCAAACTCAAAGTTTTTTCATAGAAGTGTGAAGGGCAGATGGAGAAGAAACGAAATTAACAGCATTCAGATAAAGGGTGATCAATATAGAGGTGTAAATGAGATCAAGGAAGGTGTGATGAATTATTTCAAGGGGTTATTCTCGGAAGAAGAGTGGCAGCGACCAAAGCTAGACGGCGTCAGCTTCAAACAGATAGACAAAGCTGACAATGACTTTTTGATAGCCACTTTCTCAGAAGAGGATATTAAAAACGCAGTGTGGGATTGTGACTCATCTAAGTCCCCTGGGCCGGATGGCTTCAATTTCAAGTTTATAAAGGCAATGTGGGAGGAAATAAAACAGGACGTCATAGGCTTCGTGCAGGAATTCCACGAGCATGGCAAGCTGGTCAGAGGCTCTAACTCCTCCTTCATCGCCCTGATCCCTAAGGTTGAAAACCCCTATAGAATTGAAGACTACAGACCTATTTCACTCATTGGAGTCATGTACAAGATCCTAGCTAAGCTACTAGCAAACCGCCTCAGGAAAGTTCTCGACAAGATCATCGGGGAGCAGCATATGGCATTCATAGAAGGTAGACAGATGATGGACGGAGTGGTGATTGCAAACGAGGTGATCGCAAACGAGGTGATCGATGAGGCTAAAAGGAAGAGGAAGAAGAGTTTTCTCTTCAAAGTTGATTTCGAAAAAGCATACGACAAAGTTAGCTGGGATTTTATTGATTATATGCTTATGAGAATGGGTTTTACAGTCACTTGGAGAAAGTGGATAAAGGAGTGCTTACAAACAAGTATGATTTCGATCCTAGTGAACGGAAGCCCAACACAGCAATTCCCGGTGAGCAAAGGAATAAGACAAGGAGACCCGCTCTCCCCGTTCCTATTTCTATTAGTAGCAGAAGGGCTTAATGGTTTAATGCAGTCTGCCAATGAGAAAAACTTGTACAGAGGAGTAAGGATCGAAAATGGGAACCTGTTAGTATCTCACCTCCAATTCGCAGATGACACTCTGTTTTTTGGAGAGGCTTCGGAGGAAAACATACAAGCAATAAAAAGTATCATGAGGACCTTCGAACTGGCGTCGGGACTGAAAATCAATTTTGGCAAGAGTCAGATAATGGGGGTCAGGACTGAGGAGGGCTGGAAAGAGAGGATGGCTTATAGACTGTGTTGCAAGGCGGGAGATCTTCCTTTTAAGTATTTAGGTACTCCAGTTGGAGGGAATCACAGAAGAATAGCATTGTGGCAACCACTGGTGAACTCCTTTAAAAAGAAACTTGCTAGCTGGAAAGGGCGAAACTTATCTTTGGGAGGCCGTATCACTCTCTTAAACTCTGTGCTGTCTAGCCTTCCAGTGTACCTGATGTTAGCCTACAAAATCCCTAAAGGTATTCTCTTCTCTTTAGATAAAATACGCAGAAATTTTTTATGGGGAGGGATGGGGGAGAGGAAAAAAATCAATTGGGTCAATTGGGAGAAGGTTTGCAGGAGAAAGGAGAATGGTGGTCTAGGAGTGAAGGACTTGAGGAAATTCAATATGGCGTTGTTAGGTAAATGGTGGGGGAGGTTAGCAAAGGGGGAAGATGGGCTATGGAGCAAAGTGATATCTAGTAAGTACGGAGAGAATGGAGGGCATTGGCTGGATTGGGTAAGGGATAGGAGTGGTGGTGGTTCATTATGGTGGAGAGACATCCAAAATTTAAATGCTGGAGATGGGGGGAATGCAGGATGGCTTACGGAGGGCTTTAGGATTAAGGTAGGTGAGGGGAAAAGAGTGAGCTTCTGGTGGGATGAGTGGTGTGGGGAGATTTGCTTGGCTAATAAATGTCCTAGATTGTACATCTTGTCCACAGGCAAAGACAAAGAATGCTTTCAAATGGGAAGGGCTCTCAATGGGACATGGAGATGGAACTTGACATGGAGAAGAACCCTGCATCAGTGGGAAGAAGAGACTGCAAAAGAACTTCAAAACATGATCGAGAAAGTGCGAATCTCACCGGGGAGCGCAGATAATTGGAAGTGGATACACAGCCCCGACAGAGAATACTCAACAGCAACAGCCTACGCACTATTAACAAAACAGAGGAGGGAAGAGGAGGAAGCAGAATTGCATAAAAGAATATGGAACCCTTGCTT